CGTATAAAGCCCGGTTTCACCAATGTAAGATTAACTTTAATCCCGATTCAATCCCGAATCTCTTTATCTTTTTCTAATTTTAAGAATCATTAATTTATTCTCTTAAAAAAACAGAAAACATATATTATTAAAAACCATTAATTATTAAGAATCATTAACTTATTACTCGAAAACAAAAAAATAGAAAAAATAATCGCCGATCGCGAGTTTATAAATTTTATATTCATCTCGAAATACATTTTCGGTAAGCGGTTCTCGCATGGAAGCGCGCATGTAATGTCAGGAGAGGGAATGTTGCGTGAGGATAATGATATAGTTTGGTAAACGGGTAAAAGAAACAAGTACAAACACTCACTTGCTGCTATAACACACTTTATCAAAATCCAGCAGAGCACGCCGCTTGAAACAGTTAGTTCCAGTCCTTTTCGTCTTCCCTCCTTCCTTTTATTTTTTTTTATTTTCTTTTAATCGCCTCAAAAATACGCTACGAAGAGTCCACGCATTATATCATATGCACGCCGCGCGTATCCGCGCCAGAAAGAGAGGTACGTTGTCGTCGTCCGCGAGGAACGTTAACGGCTACCTGCGCGATTCTTACTGCGGCGATCCGCTTTGATAATTACAGCGATGCGAACGGTTGCAAACGATATTTCCATGGGATCCAACGTCGGGTAGGAGAGGAGCGGCGAAGGACGACGGGACGGAGAGAAGAGAGGAGTGCTCCTGATCGGAGGATCCCTTTCCGCAAATGCCAGTCCGCCCTCTCGCACGCACAGCTGATTATCGATTAATATAGTTGTTGATTCCACGCTTGCGAGGAGCTTCATTGAATTATCCTTCCGATCGAACGAACAAATCGCGTGGGTAGGTTCTCCGTCTCTATCACTTTCCCCCTTCTCTCATTCTCTCTCTTTCTCTCTCTCTCTCTCTCTCTCCTTCTCCCTTTCTCTCACGGAGTATGCTTATTTTACGAACGCGAACATCGATGATGTACCTTTGGCGCGCACTTCCTCCTTTATATAATAGGATTACGATGTGAGATTGCGAGAGGAGTTTCAAGTCCGTCATATAGAAACCGCGCGGCAACCCGAAATCACATGTCGAGAATCGGGAAACGGCGAAGCTCCCTCAATTCTCTAGGAAGGACACGAATTGAGTGAGCTTCTGCAGCTGCTCCTCCGTCAGGCAGATCTTGTCCGATTGGCTGTACTGTTCCTCATCAATCTGTTTGCGTGGTTGCACTATGGTACCGTCAACAGTCCAGTCCCTGTCGATAGCGGCCTGTCGGGCCTCGTCCAACGACATTCCACTCATCGTCGCCATGGTCATCAGGTTCAGGGAGGAGTATGCCTTCGATATCAGCCTCATCACCCGTTCTCGAACATTGTCTGGAAAAATCGGGGTCGAAATCGGGGGAGGTTCCGTTAGCGATAATTCCTCTTGTTTAATAAAGAACGAGAAGTTCGATTAAAGAGTGACTCCAATGTGCTGTGTAGATTCCGCTTGAATAATCGATTATCGGCCGGCGTTGTAAACGATAATTATGTAGACGGTGGGTTTAATAACAATTGATTGTCGTTAATTATAATAAGGTACATATTTAGTCCTTGCTTCTACAGATGTAGGGCGCTAAATGAGGAAAGCAACTTGCCGTAGTTAACACGAAGTTGACCCGCATATGGTATTCGTTAAAATATTCTTATATATATATATATATATAT